CAATGCGGATTGCAACAAGCATTATGAGAAGAACAGAAGGCTCGTTGACGGGATCAAAGCGGAATCGCAGATGTGCGCAGGCGGAGACCATAGAGATACCTGTCAGGTGAGTCATTTGTTTGAGTTATTTGCATCATATGGTAATTGTTTTGTTTTTGTTTGTTTCCAGGGAGATTCCGGCGCGCCGCTCCAGATTTTGAATCCCAAGTATATTTCGACTTACGACATCCATGGCGTCACTTCTTTTGGAAAGGCGTGCGGCTTGAATATCCCTGGTGTCTACACCAGAGTTTCCCATTATATCGATTGGATCGAATCCAACGTTTTCTAAACGCACTCTAATAATTTACAAACAACAACAAATAAAATGATTTTATAATTATTTTTTCTATATGTTTTATTTTCTTAGTAATAGATCAGCTGTATACAAATGATTACATTAAATTGTTATATTATTAAGTGCAAACATTATTTCCTGTTTTTTTATTGAAAAATTTAATCGTTATTAAATTGAGACAAATAAGAAGCATTTTGCTTTATTAATAAATGCAAATGTGTTAAATCAAGTGATTTCGTCAGTGGAAATTAAATAAAAGAAGACGATGGACAACGGAAGATAAATAATAAAGTTATTTATAGGTGGATTTTCCTTTAAGACAGATTTCCCAGGATTTAAGAGCGCGTCGAAAGCGAGAAAATTCAGTCTCTGCTCGTCAATCGCAGTAAAAACATGTTCGTCCGTTCAGTGCTGTTAGTAACTTTGGTTTTTGGTGTTGTTGCAAATGCAACACCAGGAGAGAAAAGCAGAAAATGTATGGTTTATTTTCATATGTTATTTCAATGTTATATAATTTGTTTTGTTTATAGATTGTGATGAAACTCATGTGAAAGCGACTGGAAGAGTTCGCAGGGTTATCGGTGGTATTCAAGCAGCTGAAAATGAATTTCCGCACATGGTATAAGGTTGTAAACTTAGAAATGGCATCATCTTAAGAAGCTTTTGATTTGTTTAGGTTTCTTTGCATTACGAAGATAATGAAGCGCAATGCGCCGGATCCTTGATTAGTAACAAATACATTTTGACTGCGGCATCATGCATATCTAGGTACTATGGAATAATAAAATTGTTCAATGTATTACGTTTAATGTTTTAGATATTATCCGAAGTTCGCTAAATTAGGTACAGTCGATTTGGACAGCAAGACTGAACAGATGAAGATTGCCAGAATGATCAGAAATCCTAACTTCAAACCTCTATCTTGGTACGATAACATCGGTTTGATAGAACTCGAGAAACCCGTCGAGTTCAGCGATTCGATTAGACCCGCTTGCCTCAACACCGAAGATTCGGATGTGAAGCACACGTTCACCGCAACAGGATGGGGTTTGACCGGTTTCAATGGAAATCCAACTTCCAAACTTATGAAAGTCGCTTTAGAGGAGGTCGACAATGCAGATTGCAACAAGCATTATGAGAAGAACAGAAAGCTCGTTGACGGGATCAAAGCGGAATCGCAGATATGCGCAGGCGGAGAGCATAAAGATACCTGTCAGGTGAGTCATCTGTTTGAGTTATTTTCTTCAGATTTAATTATTTTTGTTTGTTTCCAGGGAGATGGCGGCGCGCCGCTCCAGCTTTTGAATCCGAAGTATATTTCGACTTACGACATCCACGGCGTCACTTCTTTTGGAAAGGCGTGCGGCTTTAATGCGCCTGGTGTCTACACCAGAGTTTCCCATTATATCGATTGGATCGAATCCATTGTGTTTTAAACAATAATTTACAAACAACAACAAAAACATGATTTAATAATTATTTTTTTCTTTATGCTTTAGTTTTCTTAGTAATGATAATCTAATAATACTTAATAGTAATTATTATAAATTTGTATATTATTAAGTGCAAATATTTGATTTCCCTTTTTCTTCATTTAACCTTTGAACTTTTATCAAAGAAAATTTTGTTTATGAATTCGTTAATGAAGCAATTTAAATATTTTGCAACTGATTTTTGGAATTATCCAGTTATTAATTAGATACAAATAAGAAGTTATTTATAGATCATAACTTTTATTTTTCATTACTTTGATTATCAGTTAGTTCAATTCGAATAGCAAAGATCAAACTGGGAATTCCAAGTAAGCTTAAACGTGGTCAAATGACTTCTAGTTCATTATTAAAAAAATAATAATTACTGGTTTCTATGGAAATATTTGTAATTACTTTACATATCCATAGTAATACTTTGGAGATGCTCGATTATATGGATCGGAGAGGAATATTAATAACACAGAGAGAGAAACACAAGATACATAGAGATCTTAAAGTACAACGAGTTCGAAACTCAAGAGCCAAGACAAAAGATACAGAGAACCTTACCGGATATTGAGACACGAGTGAAGAGCGAGAAAAGAGAAGGATTACGCATTTGAATTTTATTAAATCTTTATTGTTTTTTTCTTTTAAATTACATAAGGGATTATAAGTTAGGGGAGACCGGTATGGACTTTCACCTCTTGCGGCCTTCAGAAAGTTACTAAAGTTAAATATACAATAATCAGACAATGACAAGATGAGACAATAATGATGATTATGGCTCAGTATAGAGTAGGACATATTACAGGACACATAAAAGAAAAGAAAAATAGAGAACATTAGTTAAGAGAAACACAAAACATAATAGTAAATGTGACTTAAGACTAACACGAAAAGAACACATTGTAACACTGCCCGAAAACGAAAGGGGGATTTTAGGTCAATATTTTGTTGATGTCTTCGATGTGTTGGGTTGGGATTTTGACTTTGGGGATTTTGGAAAGGGCTGTCCCTGAGAGAAGGATTATAGATATGCTACACCTTATTTACCATGAAGAGGTAGAACCCTTATCAGTCCTTTCTGGAATCCAGCTACGGTCTAGAGTGTCACACACCGTACTGGGCTGATAAGTGACGTTATATAAGCGGGCTAGAGTGAGCACCACAGTACACACGAAGTTTATACTATTGCATCATTTAAATCCGAAGAATTGATGAAATCATTATTTTTTTTAGAACTAGATTTACGCAATAACAATATAATTAAAATTGAACATAATTTTATTTCATTTACAATTAAACAACATTTGTCTCGTTGAGTTAAATTAAATCAGTATATTGAAATGAATGAGCAACGAGTTAACTCAATTGAGTTATTATGGAATTTACATGTAATTCTATTTGCTATCAAAGGAAGCACTGATGAAACAATTGAACCGATTTCAGGTAAGCTTAGCAACAAGATATAAAATTTACCAATATAAATGCAGCGATAATAAACATTTTGTAAGATTTGTTAGAAACTCGTAAATATTTATTTAATTAGTAATCTTTGGGAAATTCCAAATAAGAATATGCACAAATATTATTATACTTTATAAATAGTTTTAATAATATTATGCACGATTCGTATTCTATTTACAATTTGCATCTGCGATGTTTAGTCTACCTGTATTTAAACGCAAGCACCTGAAATTCGCTTCGCTTTGCAGTTGCGTAACGACAACTTCTTTCGTTTGTTTGCATCCCTTGGCAACTCGTGTAAACATCAAAATTGACAATTCATTTTCTACCTGGTTGTGTATTGTTGTGATTGCTGTTCGTTTGTGCGTGAATGCCTCCGATTCATGCATGAGTCTTACTTACCTTATCGACGAGACCTTGGATGGGGATGCGCGCACCTTCGCATCGGTTCGTAACCATTCGCCGAGCGTAATCTTAAGCCGGTTCGAAATGATATTCGTCGTCGCCGTGTGTTTTAGTGAGCGAGTGGCAAGCGTTTGAGACAAGGGGAATCCCTGCGAATCGAAGATCAGATTCGATGATGTCGATTATATTGGAGTCGCATCGAGCGTTAAGTAAATAATGCAATCCGAAGTAAATGTGTCAATCGATCTGACCTGCACTCGATTGGGGCCAAATCGAATTGATAAGTACGTTCAAGTCATTCCGCGACGTTCTCTTCAGGGATGTTCACGAAACGCTTCGTCGGTTTCACCGCAAACCATCCGTACCTTCTGGTCGCGATCCTCACAACCGTCTCCATAACATGTCTCGTCGTCCCGGCAACACTAAAATCACTCCCAAACTTTTCGGATCCTCAAATGGTAAGTCAACTTAATCTCGGCTATGGTCACCTGTATCAGGAAAATCTGGTACGAAAGGTCGTTGGTTCAATTCCCAAAAACCAACAAAAAATTGTGGTTAAACCCGAAAAAACAAAACTTAATCTCTTTAGCTATAATCCATTATAATCGCTTCAACATTCAGGGCTTTGAGACGAGAGGAACCGACCTGGCCAAGAAGTTAACCACTTGGAAGAACCTTTTAGAATCGTCGAAATACTCCGGTCAATTCGTCTCAAATCCCAAGGAGTATTTACAAACAAAAAATTACATAATCAAAGCGAAACGACCGTCCAAGAACAAAACCAAAAGATCCTTCAAAGAAATCCCAAAGACGTCTTCATTCAAATTAACCAAAACGAAGAAAACGAAAGTTCCAGCATCCCAAGAAACCGACAATTTCTTCTGCGGTTACCCAGGTCAGATCAATCCAAACATCTTAATGGCAATAATAATCATTCACATTTCAGATTCGAAATACGCAAAGATCGTGATCAAATCGAAGCGTGAAACGGGATTATTCGATTACGATTCGATGCGAGCCATGTGCAAATTAGAAAAACGAATGATAACGAAGAAAGACTACAAAGGTCTCTGCATCAAGAGCGTTAAGAGGAAATGCTGCAAACCGTGGTCTTTGCCCAATTACGTCGCGTTGATGAACTCGAAGAAATCATGCCAGGAGATAACGGTGATTTAAAACAATTGTATTAGAGTTAATTGTAATTTATTTTCTTTAGGAAAAGGATGTGCAAATATCTAAGGAGACTTTGGTGACTTGTGCTCCGTTCTATCACAATTTCACGTTGAAACCTCATTGCAAGAAGATGAATTGCACGGGCGCTCCAAAGATTTGCACAGAAAATGATTCGGTCTTTAACATATTGAATTATATGACTAGCTTATCTTTTCTACCTAAGAATGTAAGTGAATATTTATTAATTTTATGTTTGTCAATCAATAATTTTACATTTACAGGATACAAGTAGTAAAGTTTTATTGAATGAAGCTATGCTGTATTTGCCTTTGGCTTGTAGCATTGCCACAATGCCGTTTTACGAAGATTTTGATGATTTTAATGAGTTCGATTCAATTGAATTGATCGCTTTGGATTTTGGATTGAAGAATGCTCTGTTCGAGAAGATCTTGATTAGGGACGCATGGTTGATGATCGTTGGCGCTATTTTCCTTTTGATATCGATGTGCTTTTACACCAAATCACCTTTCTTCACCTTCATGACTCTAATTGCAATCTTCTTATCATTGGGAATATCCTATTCCGTTTACACTTACGTTTACCAATTGGAGTTCTTTCCATTCATGAACTTGTTGGCTGTCATTGTAACCATAGGTAATTTCTATAAAAAGAAATCATTATTCATTAATTATTGTATATTTTAGGGATTGGTGCTGATGATGCTTTTATCTTCAGCAAACTCTGGAGAGAGTACAGAGCTTCCGAAGATTCGCTCGAAGAAGCTTTAAGCAAAACCCTTCAACAAGCCTTCGTGACGATGCTGGTAACTTCCATGACCACTTCAGTAGCATTCTTCGCATCCTACTTTAGTTCAATCACAGCCATTAAATGTTTCGGGTATTAAACCAAAAACATAAATCTTAAACAATCCAATACAAATTTGTTTAGCGTGTTTGCAGGTACTGCAGTTTTGACGAATTTCATCCTCGCCATGCTTTGGCTTCCGCCCACCGTCATCATTCAAGAAAGAATCAAAGGCTGCAATTTCAACTGTTCTTGTGGGCGATTCTCCTGTTTTCTCGATGCCCTCCAGACGACCTTAATCAAAGCAATCATCAAATTCAAACATGCTCTCTTCATAATTTTCTCAACCGCAGGTTGTTTAGCTTCGATCGCCGTTTTCTATTATCCGAAGTTACGGTTACCCGACAACAACGATTTTCAACTCTTCGACAGCAGCCATCCGTTCGAACAGTACGAATTGATTTACAAGAACAAATTTTGGTTCACGCAAAACATGAAGGTGAAATAATTCTCAAATTGTTGCAAAAAAATATTTGATTTTTTTTTTTATGTTTTGAAGGAAAATGAAGATTCAATTTATAAATTACCGTTGAGATTCGTTTGGGGCGTTTCTCCTGCGGATAACGGCAACTACATGGATCCGCAGAACTTGGGCGATTTAGAATTGGATGAAAGTTTCAACTTTTACACGCCTCAAGCGCAGGAGTTCATGTACGATTTTTGCAAGGATCTGCAGTCGCAGCCGTTCTGCAGAAGAATCGGACTGTCTCTGGGAAGTTGTTTCATGGAGACGTTCGTTGATCTCTTGAAAAGACGATGCTCGGATTTGAGCGATTCCAAGTTTAACAAACCGCCGTGTTGTAATCTGACCGAGTTTCCTTTCGAAAGTCACGTTTTCAATTATTGTCTCTACGACTCCGTTGATGCTTTGTACACGACTCCGTCGAGGTTCTTTTCGCCTGGATTGGCCGGGCCCAAATTTTCCAAATCTGATGTTCCCAAAATACAGGCTTTCGTTGTCGAATTTGATAGCACTTTCTCGTTTTCCTTGAATTTCGATTACATGGACGGTTTCTTGAGAGATGTTGATAATTGGTTTCAAAGCAAATTGGTTGGAGCGCCCGATGAATTGAAAGGTGGTTGGTTCATAAGCGATTTCGATTTCTTCGATTTGCAACGAACTTTATCAGAAAACACACTCGTTGCTATAATTATTTCCATGGCGTTAGCTCTAGGCGTTCTGTTTTTAACTACCTTGAACATCCTGGTGAGTCTCTTTGGAGTGCTCGTGATAACGTGCAGTATTTTAAGTACTATGGCTTCTCTGGTTCTGATCGGCTGGAAGTTGAATATCCTGGAATCAATCGCCATCTCCAGTATTATAGGTTTAACCGTTGACTTCAGTCTTCATTTGACTGTGAATTTTAGATTCGCACCGGACAAAATGAGCAGGGAGGAAGCTACGATCAGCGCCCTCAGAAATACTCTAGGTCCGGTGACCATGGCGGCGTTAACGACGAGTGCCGCTGGTTACTTCATGATTTTCTCTTCAGTATTAGCGTACAAGCAAATCGGACAGTTCCTTTGTATAGTTATGATTGTTAGTTGGTTGTTCGCCGTCTTCCATTTAGGCTCATTGTTAGCGTTAGCAGGTCCAGAGAACCAGTGCGGACAACTATCGTTCCTCAAATTCTTGAGAACTTTCATCAGCAAAAAAGAGCTGACATTTAACGAATCACACGAATTGGAGCGAATGAACGCGTTGAAGTTAGACAACAACTAAATGTATTTTAGTCATGAAAAAACTAGGATAAAATTAAAGATACAAAATAAATTAGCACCTCAGTGAAAAATATGTTATGAAGTATGTGTTAGTAATCATTAGAACTTCTCGACGTAAAACCACATGAGAATAGTCATCAACATTAGTCAATCCAATTAAAACAAGTTTAAATCCAATTTACTTATTTATTAATACACAGACTGAATTATCAATTAACAATGTATTTACACAGACTGTGACTGAACCAATTTGGTTTTTACAAATGTAAACTTTATAATATAATTAGGGATTCTTGAAATTCCAATCCTCCTTGACGATGTCGGCTCCTTTTTCTGCAATCATTATAGTCGGTGCGTTCGTGTTTCCGCTGACGATGATCGGCATATTACTCGAATCTATGACTCTGAGGTTGGTTAAATCCCAAACGAGGAATCTGGGATCCACCACCGAAGTCAAATCCGTCTCTACACCTATACGACAGGTGCCCACTGGATGGTAGTTGGTCGTGGCGAAGCTCGAAATGTGACACCTCCAAAAGTTGTCGGAGAATTCCGCGAAGATCTGGCATTCGCTCTTGAAATTCAGTACTTTCGCGCCGTAATTCTGGAACGATTTTGTCTTGATAAGATTTTCCAACCATTTTATACCATCGAGCATCGTTTGCAAATCTTCTCTATTTCTGTCGCCTAAATAGTTCGGATAGATTTTCGGTTTATCATATAGGCTTTTCGCGTGAGCGAAAGTCAATTGTCCCACGGATTTGGGTTGCGTTAACATCGGGGACATCTGGAGTAAAACGGATTTTTTATTGGCGTTTATGATGCTCCTTTTAGAATCTTCGTTCATGCCTATATTTTCGAGCATTTTGACTAAGATCGGACTGTTTTTGGGATGGAAAAGATGGAATACGGCGATGCTAGGTATCTTCGTTCCTTCGATGGCATTGATGAGACCGATTATGTTGGTCACGTCGATTCCTGTCAGAATACCTTTGGATTTGGTGAAGAAATCGTAGACCTCGTCGTTTAAGGATGGACCGTCTGTGTCTTGGGCGAAATCGTTCAGCTGGACGAAGAAGCTGAAGAGCGTTAAATGATCTTGCATATTTCTTCCGACCGATAAGTTAGCCAGAGGAATGTGGCCCAAATCCCGTCTTAAACCAATATTTGAGTTCGTCAGGATCTGCGGGGAGTTTATCGATCCTGCGGATAGAATCACGTCTTTCTTGACGCGCAGATTAATGTTTCTAGAATCGATATCAACGTTGACGCCGATCGCTTTTTTATCCTCGAAATTCACGTAACGCACATACGAGTTAGTTGAGACAAAGAGGTTATTCCTGTTCTTGGCGCTCGCCAAATACGCTTTGGCTGTGCTGCATCTCCTACCATCTCTGGTTGTAGTTAACGTCTCATAGTAGCCCAAATTTGGTTCATCTTCAGTGATATTCAAACCCATCTCCTGAGCACCGTTTAGAATGATATCTCTGACCCGTCTCGGCGATTTATCGTAAGAAGTCGTCAACAATCCATCGGTGCCGTGATTAGGGAAATCCTTGTACAATTCCCTCGAAGTGCTCTCCGCTTTTATAAAGTACGGCAGCACACCCTTCCATCCCCATCCGGTCAATCCTCGTGCTTCCCATTGATCATAAACCTCGGGAACGCCACGCACGTAAATCAAGCCATTTATGGTGCTGCTTCCGCCTAAAACTTTCCCTCTCGGCCATTTGCAGCCTCCGGTGAAACCCAGACAAGCTTTCGAGCTGCTCGTCTCGAATTGCCAATCCTCGTCAGTCAATTGCAAGAATTCAAACATACCAGGTATTTCGGAAGTTGATGATGGGTATCCTCCAGCTTCCAGAAGAAGAATATTCCATGCCGGGTTTTCGGATAATCGATTCGCCAAAACCGCTCCAGAACTACCCGCTCCGACGATGATGAAGTCAAAGGTGTCTCCATCCTGCAACTTCGGTCCAAAATCCTCCTGGTAATCGGGTTTAGTGTTCAATGAACACTTGGAATTCAACAGACTCCCAATTAGAGTCAAGAACAAATTACCTGCAGCCCCGGAAAGGGTGTTTGGGCAAGGGTCTTGCAGACCCGAAAGACATTCCATGGTTTTACACGAAAGAATGCAAATCGAAACACGATTCGCTACTGAATTTTGGGATACCCTCTGCATGCTTTTATACTCGCATCGAGCAGATACCGAATGCTAATTTCCCACTTATCTGGCCTTATTAATACAAAAATATATTATTCAGATTAATATGGAATAAAAAAATGTATCTACGTAAATTGTATAATTGATTCAAGTCAAAGACCTTATAGCAGTCAGAGTTTTCATCAATTCAGTTTATGAATTTGTATTTTGATGTTTAATGAAAACAAAAATAGGATCAGTGAAAAACATGTACTTACAGAATTTATTAAAATTAAATAATCAAGTTTGTTTTAAACCTATAAACTATATTATTCATTTTTTTTGTGTCGATAAAAACAGTAACGGAAAAGGGCCATCCTTTTCCGACAAATCTCTCCATTATTTACGCTATATCTTACAAACAAAGACGCATAATTGAAAAAAATAAAATAATAATAATCTGGATCGTCGTCATATACAATATAGTTATTACATTCACATTATACTACACATATATATAAAAATATAATAAATATACAATGTTTTAATTTAATAATAATAATAATAAAAAAAAAGAAAATAAATAAGGGCTATACATCACATCTCAATCTGGTAAAGAAGAAGTAAAACGGACAATTCTAGAAGAAATTTGTTTGACGGCCGCAGCTACATCCTCCGAGCTTGCCAAACGCATCGAGACGCCGAGGCACGACTGCTTCGTTTTTGTTTTCATTTATTTTGATAATTTTTATATTTTTTATCATTTGGATCACAGATCTCGCGGCCTTTTCCCGCTTTTTTGGCTATAAGAAGGAAACCCTGTATGCGGCGCATAGAGTGTCCACGACCGTGTAGATCTGCTCGAAGTTCGGCCTGTTTTCAGGCTGATAATCCCAGCAGCGCAACATCAGACGGTACATCTCGTCCGGCGTATTTTCAGGTGCTGGCATCCTGTAACCTAAAATACTTTACTTTATCAACTGAACTTAAGCATTATCCTGTGAAAATATGCAAAAGGATTTTACCTGAATCTATCTTTTCTCTTGCTTTAGAATTGCTGAGACCGCTGTAAGGTGTTCCACCTCTCGAGAAGATCTCCCAGCAGAGGATACCGTAGCTCCAGACATCACACAACGAAGTGTATTTTCCTACAAAAATGATGTAATTATACAAATATGACAAAGTGATTAGGCTATGTGTCAGATGGAACTTTAACAAGTTTGTCTGAAAACCTGCCAATAACCAAATATATCCTAACATTGATATTATGTGAAGTAATTGTCACTTGTCAAAAACTAAATGCGACAGATGAAATTTGCTAAAAGTCATGGATCCAAATGTGACAGATGAAATTATTGAAAGGAGTAAGTGCAATATTATGTAATTAAATTATTATTAGTTACCGAAATTTAATGCTTCAGGTGCAGTCCACTTGATTGGAATTTGCTTCATGCCATCCGAAACGATGTATTCCTCCTCCTCCCTAGACATGCCGAAGTCGGAGATTTTCACGGTGTTTCTGTATCCTGAAAAAAAATAATAATCCCGCAATCAATTAGCATTAATGTACGTATTGTCGATAATCTACTAGCGTCTTACCAACTAAACAGTTCCTTGCCGCCAGATCACGATGTATGCAGTTCTTCGACTCCAGGTACCGCATGCCTGCTGCCGCGTCCAAGCACATGTTCATCAACTGACCATCGGTCAACGCGGAAGATTTCTTTCTTAAGAACGTCAGCAGCGACCCACCTGGCACCAATTCCATTACGATCATGATCGGCTGCTTCTGCACGCAAATCCCGATCAGCTTAACAATGTTCGGATGATCGTACTGCTTGAGAATCCTTCCTTCCTGCAGGAACTTCTTCTTGTGGTCATCCGGTAAGGTAACCCTGCACGTTTTCACCGCAACCTCTTGGCTGCTGCTCTTCAGCTGCGCTTTGTAAACATCTCCGAAGTTACCCTTTTTATGGTGAAAGCAAAAGAAAACGGGGAAAGTTAATGAGATAGTTTTGAGAAATATCAACTGAACTGTACTCTTCCAATTTTATCCAGAAGTACAACGTCGTCGTTGTTCAGTTCCCAGCGTTCCCTCGGTATCGGTTTGTAGAGGACGGCTCCGGACCTCCCCGTCACCGGTGAAGCGCTGTTGAATTGATACAGAATCAGCTCTCGGATGCTTGGGAAAGCTGGACCTTCGAATCTGTAGTGTCCCTGTGAGTATATAAGAAATTTGATTATTTTATTTAATTAAATTATGATTATGTACCTCATTGGTGGTTTGCACTATAAAGTGTTTGTGACCGCCCCAGCAGACGGATAGCACGGTTTGACACTCATCATTCCTAGTGGTTTCCCGGACCAAGAAGTCGCCGTCTTGCGTCAATAACCTGACGACCTCCTCCCTAGGTAGCACCCCGTGGAACCATTCCTCATCCACGAGTGGTTTATTAATACTCAAAGACACCTGAACATCGAAAATAATCATCATTAATCCAAAGACACCAAATTAGGTAAATTGGTTTATTAGCACAAAACGATAAAAACTAATTGTTAGTAAGCTTTCCATTCCATGTTTTTTAGTGTTTAACATACTGGATCAGCACCCTCGCTCTGCGTGGACGAATTCCTGCGTCCCCCTTTGGTCCGCGGAGGGGCCACGGGGGACGAAGGCGCTGACTTCCTTCGGAACGGCTTCTTCAGCATGTTCACCAGCCGGTGACCCTTTTTATTCAAGCCGGATTGCGACCCGTCGCCCTGACACCAAAAATACGTAAAGACCACCACCAACAAAGAACCAATAGAAGACCGTAGTTTCAAGCTATCATCCCATTAAATTTACACCGAAAAGCCTACCTGTTCGCTGGAATTGCTGATGAACGTCTGGTTGTCGATGGACAGATCCAATCCGGATGGAACCTCTTCGCATCCGAGCTCATTCAAGGCACACTTGATCAGCTCCGTCTGCTTGAGCATTTTCCGCTCCAGACACTTCAGTTCATTCACCTCCTTCTTGTTTGTCTCACCCGTATACGACAATCTGAGAAGGGAAAGTTAACTTTGTACCAACAGTATTTACATTATATAAATACCTATTATTCGAGTCGTTGCTGGAGACTTTCCCATTAGGTATAGCCTCTTGGTTGGAACTCTGCAGATTCGTCCTCTTCTCTTGGTTCTCTTTGATTCCACCCTCCAAATCGCTCAGCTTGTTCCTCAGCCACTCCACCGTCAGATTATCAACTGTCAATTGATTCGGCAGCAATTTTCCCGCAGAATCCTCCACCAAACTCTCGTCAAACATAAATTTCACAGGCTCAGTAGGCGTAGTCCTTTATACAAACAATAGTCACAATTAATATTTTCATAACATTTTACTTTTACTCTTTAAGAAACGATCCAAAAGTGAAAAACTGAATCTTTTCTAACAGCTGATGTTTTAGGGATTCATTAATTTTTGAAATAGGATAAGGAAAGTAGACAACAACATTAATTAAAGGAATTCTAATAAAACTATCTTACTTGTGTTTTTCAGTAAAATCATTGTATTCGTCTGACGGTTTGATCGCCTCCAAACCGCTCTCGATCTTCTTCTGGATTTCTTTAAACTTCTCCGAGGTGAGATCCGAGTATTGGGAGACTTCCAGAAGAATCTGCTTCCTGTTGATAAGTATAAAGTTTCTATCAAAATTGCCGGTCGGATCACTAAAAGTTAAATTACCAGCTAGCGATGAAGGTTTCCTGCACCGACTGCTGATGCTCTAACAATCCTGGTAAGAGAACCGTCCTGAAATCCTTTTCGAATTCTGCAGCCTCGCACAGCAGCAACACGTACTCATTGTGAGTGAGATGCAGCTTCCTGCAGGCCTTCTGATACTTATCCCTAACTTCGTCCAACTTCCGTCCGCCGCGTCCCGCTGCAATCAAACATCGCATGTTAATCGCGCACGCATTTGCAAATAGCAAAATGCCACTATTGAAAGGCATTGAAAGCAGCGTTTGTTTGTCTTTGTTTTTCCTTCTATCAATCGCGTTTGTTCATTTCCTCTGCATAAGAGCGTAGCAGAAAAAAAGAACGCCTTCGGCAGCGGCACACAAACGGAATGGTAATAATAATAATAAAATTACAATAATAAAAAAAGAAGTAAATACGGCAAAGAGAAAAATTAGCACGGGCAATAACGAGCGGCTCTATTTGCAATGCGAAATTAATTATGGCTTGTGCTGGGAAAATCGCGGTGCACTTGCCATTTTGCATGAATTAACGCGAGATTTCCGTAAATGTTAATTGCAATTTATTCCTTATTTTAAAACCCGTTCGTTCTTACGATATCGAATTTTTATTTCATTCGCTTCGCTTTAATGTCTTACTTCACCTCTCTGTCTTTCTCTCTCTCTCTGTCTCAATTACTTATTAGGTCGGCTAATTTAAATTGGAAATGTATTAACTATACTTAATTGATGGCTGCTGATTGTGGTAGTGTATAGTGCAGGTGTAAATAAGCTGTCAGATGTTACGCACTTGTGGACTTCTAGAAGGAAAATGGTAAACTATTTTCATTCGCAAATCTCACTCAACTCTCGCACTCTGGCTTTATTTTTAGGCTCTATCTAATGGCACACCGCGAAGGTTATACGATGTGAGTGGTTTTTAGTTGTTTTTTTTCTTGCTTATACATTTCCAACTCTGATATAAAGTTGCGAAAGTCGAAGGGTTTGCAAACAAAACTTTGCGAAATGCAATTTAGCGCTTGATCGAACTATCTGAGAAATGTTCATACAATTTCAAATTTATAATAACTGTAACAATTCTTGCAATTTATATCAGAATCATTAAACACAATGTATAATGACGTTAACAACACATAAATATAAATGATTTTTAAGATGTTTCCTGAACTAATCTAAATGATAATTTGCAAAGAAAAATTATTAGAAATTATTCAAAATATAAATAAAAGCAGAGGGGGCAATTACGAAAAGTTTATAACCTTTATATATAGTTGCGAAATTTGTCAATATCCTGGGTTTGCTGACAGTTTGCGAAACACTATTTAGTGCTTGGCTATCTGGCAAAGATACAAACAAAATTGGTAATAGTTCAAAAATATGGAAAATGTTCAAAGTGAATTATTATACAATTAGTAAATGAAAAGTAAGTTTATGAGTAAAATCTAAATTAAAAATATTTTCTTGATAAAATAATTGATTAGAAAGTTTTAAATTATATAATATATTGAAATTATGATACTAGGTGATATAATTACATATTTTTGACATTCTTGACAACTGTCAAAAATTACATAATAGTCATATATTGAATTGATGATTTTTGTGACAATGATGTCAAAATTGATAAAATGGCAAAAATTGACTTTATTGACAACAACCTTAAACTGTCAGATATGACGTAATTAACAATTGGTTTCTTTTATATTATTAAATTTATGAACTTTGTAACAATGGTGTCACTACGACTCCAGTGTTCAAGTGATTTTATTGTGGACAGAATGATGTAACCCGAGATTAATTTTAGCAGCGAAAGTGAAGACACACGATGATGAAAACAATGATACATATTTTTGACATTCTTGTTAACTGTCAAACTGCCAAAAATGACATAATAGTCTTTATGTCCTTGTTTTTTTATATTGAATTGATGATCTTTGTGTCAATGATGTCAGAATTGATAAAATTATTAAATTTATGAACTTTGTAACAATGGTGTCACTACGACTCCAGTGATTTTATTGTGGACAGAATGATGTAACTCGAGATTAATTTTAGCAGCGAAAGTAAAGACACACGATGATGAAAACAATGATTCAGATTTTGATAATTTCGAATAGAATTTAGCTGGATTGCGTCTCAGCGACAATCCTTAAAGCAAGAGTAATTGCGAAATTATGTAAATTCCTAATCCACATGGAAAATTATAATCCGTTAATAAAGAAACGGCAAGGCGTGAGCGCAGATATTCGGAATGCGAGAAGAAGTTGAATTTGTTTGTGTAGATTATTATTTTCTTTTTAGTTAATAGCGTGTGCACAGAAACTGAACGAAACTGAAGGAAACGAGTTTAAATGCGATTAAATTTGAAACTGTTGAAAGTGTTGTGTTGAAATACGAACACACATTCGGCTGATATTTCGCCTTATCAGGTGTTAATGCCAATGAATGGATTCAGCGAATTTCGCGTAGAACTAGTTTTCGCAACACGCAGTCAACATTGAAATGAAAAATATTGTAAATTTCGATATATAAGCAACTTTGTTTTCTATAGACATTTTAAGACAAATACATCAGATTTGCATTTATTTAATCTCTTTGTAAATAATTTGTTTGTTCTACTCATTTCAGTTTAGTCATCCAAATCTTCAGACTGGTGATTACACTGAAATTATTACTTATCTTCCAATATAACTGTCAAATCAGTTTTACTGTCATCGGTGACAAATATGTAGACCTGTCAAAATTACTTATAGTAATTGTCAAATACAAAACGAACACGTTTTTTCCATATTTTTCTGAAGTTAAAGGATAGATGTGGACTTACATTTTACATAATGCTCTTCGAACCTGGATCTCATCAATTTGTAAAGCTCTAAGTATTTTTGGTATTCGGTCTTCTTCCTCGTCACGTCCTCTGATAACTGAAAAAAAAACAAAATACAAACATTATTACTAAACTAATTTGAATTAACATTTACAAATATTTATTAACTTTTATTAGCTTTAGTTTACATTTACAATTTCGTTACGTCAAAGCCATAGTTAACAAAAAAAATGTCTCTCAAAGATTTGTGTTGTTAGAAGATCATAATTTAATTATAACATTGTCCTCTATATACGTTTCATCCTTAAAGCAATGACTAAGAGCAGCAGCAGCTCGTTAATATCAGTAATTCCACTCCGGTTGTCATCTCTTTCGCCAATTTAAATATCGTTTTAAGCGCAGGCTAGATGGGTTAATTGGTTCAATTAAGATCGGAACAATGGATCCAGACTGCTGCAGAATGCAGCTTTCTCGAACGATTCTAATGTGATATGATTGTGATTCATAAAAAAAAATAAAACAATTCACACTTACGACATGCACGCAATTATTGTTCGCGATTCGATCTTCATCATTATATTCTTAAAACCGATTCATAAAAAAAAAACGTATTCATAACAATTGTAGTTATTTCAATGCAACCGGCTGCATGCGATATTTTCGCATGGCGATTGATGATCTCGCAGGAATCTGTGTCAGGACCACCTTCTTTTTTCACTTCTTTCTTTCCTGCACGTCCGAAAGCTTGAGAAAACCTCTCGTCGTATAGGACTTAAAAGAAAGTTTATTGATGCACTTTTTCTTCTCGCATTCTATATTAGTTTCAAATTCAATGATTGACAGTTTATGAAAGTAAAGCAAGTTATGTTTCCATAGTTTTTTTGGATGGGTGATTATTTGTGTGAATAATTGATTCACAACTTGCACAAATTGTTGATGTAACCAATAAATCCATCTGACAAAACGTTGATAATACCAATAAATCCTTCGGAGCGCATCGCAATTTCACGCCGCATTTAGATCTAATTAGATTGCGCGTCTTCCTTCCCTAATCACTATTTTAACAATCTAAACGCATCCATCTACAATCGCGGCGCCGATTCCGGAACAAAGCTGTTTTTAATTGCCGAACAATGGAAAGCACGTTCCGCTTTCGTTACGTAACGAAATGCGACGGGCGCGCACCGGAAAAACGGATGCATATTTCCGTGTTACGGAAAATATATCGAAAATAAGGAATTTCCGGTTTCACGTTGTTGTTGTTGTTGCCTTGCAACCACAAAATAAAAAGAAGCGACGATAATAACAAAAACAAACAAATAATAACATGGTTGTAAGCACGGTTCGTGCGATCGAAAACGGAAATGCCAATGGATATTTTATTATTACATGGGAATAGTTGCGTTATGATTCATAAAACGGGCGAGAACCGTTTTACCGTGGAGAGCCGTGTGTTGTTGTTGGTCGTTACATGCATGCACGTCGAGAAGAAGGAGAAGAAGAAGCGGGTTGTGTTTTGCTGAAAGTGGGAAAAGGACGGAGAAATGACATGACAGGACTCTGACAGGTGAAGTCTTGATTCTATTAGATCTTTCCTTTCTAAAGTTCATGCTCGTATTGGAGACGGCGCAAAACTTTATTGTTTTATTATTATTATTTTTTTTTTAATTACTATTTTCGCGGAATCATTAAATTTGCAATCTTCCTTTTACGCTATTTTCTATTTTCGTTTCATTCATAGTTTTTATAGTTTCGTCCACCAATATTTATATTCCATTTAAACATTCTACAAATTAGTTTCGTCATTAACAATGAATAAATTTTACTTTATACAGACAGATTTCCTTTACAGTTAAGATAATTATGATTTCTTAACGTTGTTAACTATTAGTACATTCATTATATTTCTTGAATAAACTTAACGTTTAAAAAAGTATAAGATTTGCATTTTGATTTTAATAAATCTAAAATAATTATTATGAGCTTTCATGGAAATTATTTTTGTTTGTAATTGTGTAGTCGGTACAAGCAACTACTAAACAACGCATAGTAATTACACGTATTATGAATATAAACATCTAGTTATAATGAGAAAACATAATTATTATAATAGGAATTTATACATTCATACAAACAGTAAGTTTATAGTAAAAAGAGTTCTCACGTTACGAAATTCACTGAACAATTTCAACAAATTTATTAAACGCCTTTTGACCTCCTCAACATTCTCAATAATAGTGTTAATTCTCAAAAAAAAATAGTAAAAATCATCTTCATTTTGTTTATGGATAATAATTTCCAATTTTCTAAAAATTGAACAAATCAATTAAAGTTAACTTTAAATACAATTTAAAGACGTTTTTGCTCTTGAAATCATTTGCTTCTTCATTGACAAAAGTAACAGTATTCTTGAACAAAATAAAAATTAACTTTAATTTCTGTATTTTAGATCAAAAAAAGAATGGAATTTCCAAAGGGATTTTAATTCCTGCGCAGCGCATTCTCAATAATAGTTTTAATTCACAAATTATAATAAAAATTCAGTTTCATTTTGTATATGGATAATAATTTCCAATTTACTAAAAATTGGACAAATCAATTAAAGTTAACTTTAAATACAGTTTAAAAACGTTTTTTCCCTTGAAATCATTTACTTCTTCATTGACAAAAGTAAGAGTATTCTTGAACAAAATAAAAATGAACTTTAATTTCTGTATTTTAGATCAGAAAGAATGGAATTTCCAAAGGTATTTTAATTCCAGCGCAGCGAAATTGTTCTTCGGAATCGATCCGCTCCACATTTAAAACGTGTCGCCAATAAAACCCGATGTGTGTGTGTATGTAGAAAGTTTTCGCCTGCTCGACAACATCCGAGTGAAAACTTTTTTTTTTCTTTCCTTCTTCTTCTCTCCACATATAAATTTTAAATCGATTTTAAACTCGTACTCGTCCAAGGCCTCTCCGTCTCCGATGCCGTTGTTGTTGATCACATTTTCGGCATATTTGTATCACCTGATCGCATTAATTTATCGATGTCAATTCAATCAAGTCAACAAACAGTAATTGAATACGAAGCAAATTGCTAATAAATAATAATTTAACCATTGATTTACACTGCGTTTATTGCTATTATTTGTTCGCCACTTATGGGAGCAAAATGTTAATAGTAGTAGAAAGTGCGGTTTCTTTTACATTCCTAATCACTTTAATTTGAACTCGAATAAATATTTGTTTTTTTTATATATTAGCACATTAATTTTAGTACAGATATAATTGATCAGCATTCTTGGCATCAGAAATTTAGATAATCTACAAGGATGGCTTAAAATGTGGAGAATATCAGTTAACGAAATGAAATCCGTGCATATCACATTCACCCTAAAGAAAGACACCTGCGCGACTGTAAGACTTAATGGACAAGATCTGCCCAAAGCAACAAATGTCAAATATCTAGGCATGCATCTAGACCAGAGGTCGGGGAAACGGGGTAAATTACCCAAAATGGGGTAAAAATGGATTTTTTTTAATTTCATCTTACCAAAGTCAGAGAACGGTTCTCTGACTACTTTGATGTACAAACTGTGATTTGGGTTGTAGATCCTTTTAAATGTGAAATTACAAACATACCAGAAGAATCTCCAGGTTTGGCAGAGGCAATTTTTGAACTTCGATCCAATACT